TCAAATTACAAGTTTATAACACCTTTCTTTACTATCACAATAACCAAATATCGAAAAATATTTTCTCCTTTTCCATCACTCTTTCTTCTTCATCATACCTAAAAGAAAATAAATACACCAACAATATGACCAAAGCAACCACAAAAACAATAGTGATAATTTTTTTTAACTTGGTCGAACCTAAGAATAATAACAAAAGTTTATTTGTCCATACATCCCAATATATTCTCATGAGGTCCAAATAGGTTTCCACGAAAGGTGCAACTTGGACGGGCTATTCCGAATATATCCCAATCCCGAGTTGAAAAATCAATAAGCAGATACTTACAATATTGGAGTTGGGTTTGGATAAAAAAAATGTCAACCTACTTTTAAACGATACTCAGGCACAATAATCGTGTTGATCAAATAAACAACAATCCATCCAGAATTGCATAACTCGGGTTCAACCTAATAAACCAAAACATGCTCACACTGATTATTTTTAAAAATTTCAAGAAAAAACTATGCCCAGATGTGAATGATAAATAGGTCAAATAGTTGATTGTCCGAAACATATTTTCTTTAAACTTGTTCCTCTGTACAAATGATTGTGAGACTCGAATTTGAACATAAATAAGGGTAATTCAAGAAACCCAAATTGGAACCAAATTTCAACTACAATCTTGTAAACAAGTTCAACCAAGATTTCAAAAATTTAAATATGTGCAATAATCAGGTTGAATAGTTCGCGTTAGGCTCTAGTTATGGTTGAGCTCCACTCGAGTGTTTCGAGTCTGGGTTGACCCTTAACCTTGCACAGGTTGCTCCCCCTAGTTTAAATTGTCAAGTTGGGGGAGAATCTAAAGACTCATCCATGCACGTACAAAAACAATAGCAGATATATTAAGTAGATTTATGTCTTCACAGTATATACAACCATATTTAACAATTTACGGTGCTCAAGGATATAATACAGTCTGCTCACCTTCAAGTGAACTATACATAAATTACTTAATACGAACATAAAAAGAAAAATCTTCAAAACTAAATGATATCAATACTTCCAATCTAAAATACATGCAAGCTCCATTTGGACACACATCGGCCTAGTATGTCAATTGACGGGATCAGGGAATTAAATTTCGTTTCGAAATGGTCAAAACATTTTGTTTCTATTAAGTTTGGTGCGAAGTTTAACATAATATGAGAGAAGCAAATAGTGGTTTTGACTTACCCTACCTCTCACTATTAAAGTTGTATTTATAGTTACTGAACGAAGAAATAAAAGACGAGTATACCCTTTGTGTGGTATACATATTACAACAAACGTAAACCTGATTATATTATAGTAATTTTCTCAACACTCCCCCTCAAGCTGGACTATAAATATCATATAATCCAAATTTGGAACAAATATCCGCAAGACGAGAACGACTCAATACTTTGGTGAACATGTCAAGTTGAGTCTCAGATCTCAAAAAATGAGTTACAATGTCTCCACTTAGTATCTTGTCTTGAATAAAATGACAATCAACTTCAATATGTTTGGTTCTCTCATGAAACATTGGATTGACAATAATATGAATGGTTGTCTGATTATCACAGAACAGTTGTAACGGTAGCTGAACTAGAAAACCAATTTCCCGAATAAAGTGTAGTAACTATATCAATTCACTGGTCGTATATGTCATTACTTTATACTCAGCCTCAGCACTGGATCGTGTTACCAATGTATATTTTTTACTTTCATGAAACAACATTACCTCCCAAGAAGGTACAATAACCAGTATTTGACTGCCGATCAAATAGAGAACCAACCCAATCAGAATCCGAAAAACTTTCCACTCGAAGATATCCATTGGTTCGATATAACAATCCAAAACCAAGAACACTTTTGAGATATCAAAGAATACGAATGACTGAATCTCAATGTGGTACTCTAAGATATCTATAAATTGACTTACCATACTAACTGTATATGCAATATCTAGTCGGGTAATAGTGAGATAATTAAGCTTCCTAACCAACCTGCGATACTGACCAAGGCTATCAAATAGAGCACCATCATCCATCAACAACTTCTGATTTGGATCCATAAGACTATCAACTGGTCTACTACCGAGTAAACCTACCTCTTCTAGCATGTCAAGTACATATTTCCTCTGAGATAGACAGATATCCTGCTTAGATCTGACAACTTCAATACCCAAGAAGTACCTAAGTTTTTCCAAATCTTTCGTATAAAATTTATCTTGCAGAAATATTTTTAACTTAGTAATACCCTCATAATCATTACAAATAATTACGATATCATCAACATAAACCACCAATAGAATGTACCTTGCATCTGTCTATCTGTGAAAAACAGCATGATCTGTCTAACATCGAAGAAGACCAAACTCTAATATTGCATCAAACAATTTACCAAACCATGCTCTTGATTACTGTTTCAAACCATACAAAGATTTCTTCAGTCGACACACACTCCTACAATACTCTCCTTGAGCAGTAAAGTCAGGTAGCTGCTCCATGTAGACTTCCTCAACCAAGTTACCATGCAAGAATGCATTCTTAATATCTAACTGAAACAGGGGCTAACCAAGATTAACAGCCAAAGAAATTAAAACACACATAGAGGAGATTTTGACAACGGGTGAAAATGTCTTTGCATAATCAACACCATATGTTTGAGTGAAACCCTTAACAATAAATTAAGCTTTGAGACGCTCAACAAAACCATCTGGATTAAACTTAACAGTGTACACCCATCGACAATCAACCGTCCGTTTGTCAGGCGGAAAGGGAACAAGATCTCAAGTCTCATTCTGATGTAAGACATCTATTTCAACTTCCATAACTTTTCTCCAATCCAGATCAAACAAGGCACCTTTTAGAGTCTTAAGAATAGAGATAGTAGAGAGATGCGTGATAAAACAGGAAAAAATAGGTGACAAGGCATCATAAGAAACAAAATTACCAATGGAATGATTAGTAACACATGATCGAATATCTTTCCTAAGAGCAATCGGTAAAGAGCCAGAATTACCTGAGGAACTCGGATCAGGAGATGGCAAGGAAGCTGGCAAGGGCACTTTAGTTGATGACTGCACACGACGAGAGTATACATGGAGCGGAGCAGGAGATAGAGATACAATAGATAGAGTAGGTGATGGTAAAGGGGAGGTTGTGGTGTAGACTGCCCAAAATCAAGATCTAAAGGCTGCTCAGGAGCCGAAAAATACGAAACCTCTTCGTTAAAGGTGACATCAACACTAGTGAAATATCGACAAAGAGTAAGACTATAACATCGATACCCTTTTTGTGTACGAGAGTATCCAAGAAAGATACACTTGGTAGCATGAGGGTCAAGTTTATCAAACCTTGGCCCCAAGTTATAGACACAACAAACATACCCAAAAACTTTAGGAGGTATAAGGTACAAGGATGGAGTATGGACTTTGCCCATTTAACACAGATGACAGTATGCGGTTAATAAGGTGACAGGATATAAGAACATCATCACTCCAAAACACACGAGATACATGCATTTGAATAATAATACACAGGTAACTTCCAATAAATGTTGATTCTTACGCTTAGCAAAACCATTCTACTGAGAAATATAGGCACAAGAAGTTTAATGAATAATGTTAGTCTTACGAAGATAAGATGATAAATGATCAGATTTATATTCTCTAGCATTATCAGAACGGAGAATATGAATGCGACAACCATATTGTGTTTTTACTTCTTGACGAAAGGTCTCAAATATAGAATATAACTCGGCGATCATGAGATAAACTACGGTCAACACTAGAAGTCCCAGTAGACAATATAACACGCTGTAAACAGGAGAAAACCTCAAGCAGAGATAAGAGGCTGGAACTACCCAAAATCTAAGAACGAATAGCCTCATATTCAGGTTTCAAACACATCAGAAAACGAACAACATTCATATCTTCATGCTCGTTCTGCCACACTGCAACATCGATGGTCAACGTGTGGTAAAACTTCAATTCCTCACAAACTCCCGTGACATGGGAATAATAATCTATAAGGCTCAGATTGCCTTGGTCTAAACGAAAGTACTATTGACACAACTCATATGCACGAGTAAAATTACTTGTACCCGAATATATAATGACCAAGTGATCCCAAATTTCTTTAGCCATGTCAAGATAAAGTAAAGTGGAGCTAACACCAGTCTCAATACTATTCAATAATAAGGAGATAATCTGAGCATCTGCCGGTTTCCACTGATCATAACCAGTAGTACCTTCCGTGGGTTTAGGGTCCACTGGATATTTCTTAAGACCTTTACCTTTCAGAAATACTTGAACTGATCGTGACCATAAAACATAATTAGTCCCATTAAGCTTTACCAATGTCATAGGACCACTAAATAGAATAGTAGAAGACAAACCAGGTGACAAAGAAGAAGTAACAATGGATACATCATCATTCTTGGATTCCATAGCCATAGGAGGGCTAAACTAGGCTAGAACAGTACGAAAAAGGAGCTGGATAATGGCTGGAGAAAGGGTGAACCAAAGCAGAACCAGTGGAATAAGGCCTGAGCGACACTGAACTGGAACTGAACCGGTCGAATAGTGCTAAACCAGACCCGAACCGGTCAAAATTTAGACCTTGCCAATAGAAACTATGGCAAACTATGATGAAACAGGCTTAATCAGGACTGAGCAGGAGTAGACCATGTAACACTGACCTGTACCAGCCTAAGATTGTCATGAACCAGTGTTGAACCGTGACGAACCAAACCTGAACTATGATGAAACAGCTTGAATCGGCTTGAACTGGTTGGGCTGGGACTGGGCTACCAAAGGACGTGGGCTGGATTGGGCTAGGTACTTGGGCCAAAGGGCTTAGGTTTAGGTTTATTTTCTTTTTTTTTAGAATTGACCCGAGCCCACAATCATCAAAGATTTGACCCGACCCTTATTGTTCACCGTCTTCCCAAATTTGTTTTGTGAGCAAACCCTAGCCTCTAATAGGTCTGCTCACACGACAGACTCCACACGACGGCGACCCACGACGCTATCTGTGACAACACCGATGACTACCACCACCACATTGGTAGTGATCAACGTGAGGTTCACGTCACCAACAGTGACGATAATCAACTGATGATGATGAACAACGAAAACACCATCGCCACCATAAACACCACAAATATCAAGATCAACTCAGCAAAAAAACCACCATCGATTTCAATCCGAAGCCACACCTTTGGAAATGCACAATTTCAGTGCAAACCCATTAAACACTGGTAGAGACCTAGTGAAGGCGCAAAACAGAGAGGAAGGAAAAGAAGGAAAAAAGAAAAGAAAAGAAAAAGAAAAGAAGAGAGGAAAAGAAAAGAATTAATAAAAGATTAGACCTAATTGCTCTGATACCATATTAAGTTTGGAAAGAAGTTTAACACAATATGAGAAAGGCAAAGAGAGGTTTTGACTTACCCTACCTCTCACTATTAATCTTGTATTTATAGTTACTGAACAAAAAAATAAAAGACGAGTATACCCTTTGTGTGGTTATACATATTACAATAAACATAAACTTAATTATATTATAGTAACTTTCTCAACATTCTTCATAGAAACCGAAATGAATCATTTTGATTGAATATCAAAATTCGTAGTGTTTTGGTAGGTTTCGAGATGTTTCAATAGGTTTCGACATTTATTTTGGTATATTTTGACTAATATTTCGAAAATAAATTTTTAAATTTTTCTTTGTTTCCACCTTGTTTCCGAAGAAACATTACCAAAAAGTTTTCATTTTCAAGTTCACTAAAACAAAATTTTGATCCTTGGATGGGATATTAAATTTCACCCATGTCATGTGACAATATGCGCCATACTCTAGAATTAGAAATTATACTTGTGGAAGAAAAAATAAGAACATACTATGCAAGAAAACAAAAAGAGGCAAACATGAAAATGAAGGAACATGATAGATAAATGTATGCAACTTACTACAAGTCCAACGGTTTCCGGCATTCAAAAATGAATCGTCCTTCCCCACACATTGAGGATGATAAGATTTTAGACACTGCCTGAAACAAATAATTTATATTTAGTATACAATGCTCCATTAATGAATGACAAACTCTTCATTACATTTTATTAAAATCCACGAGATAGTGCCAACAAGAAAGCATGGATAACGTAAAATATGAGAAGAATGAAACTTTTAAAGACTTAAATACTAACCCACCCCAGACAGATACACACCAAATGTGTACATTGTCCATGAAATATAGGAGTTTGTTCCTCATATCTCATAGCCAGATATCGAATGTGCTAGATATTTCTTGATTTGGGCAGGTATTTTTGGCAAGACTTGTTCTGTGGGGAATAAGCTGGGTAAACAAGTTAGAAGTGTTCTAGTTTTATCATTATTGTTTACTATGAGGGGTATTTTTGACAACGTAATATGTTAAACCTAATTTCCCTTCTCTTTTCCACGGCCTCCTTTGTCCTTTTTCTTTTTTCTTTTATTTTTCTCTTTTCAACAGTTTACATGAATTCCACTAAACATTAGTCTATTTATTACAAGTGCCGAAAATAGTCACCTACGGGTTTAGACACGAAGCATGAAGGTTTAAGCCCCGGAAACAACCTCCCCACATGTAGGGCAAGCCTACGTATATCTAACCTTCCAAACCCCGCAGCAACAGAACCTCATGCACTAGGTCGCCATGCATAAATAAATTTTCCAACAAAAGATAATGTAATGTGTAACTCACTATAAGGTGATTACATGCACTAAGAGGTCCACCCACAAAAGCGTTCATGGGTTACAGTAGTGTGGCACTGTACACTCATCACAATAGCAGCAGAACATAGCACACTACAATATACCCTTATTACTTACTTTTTATGGAAAACTAGTTGGTGGCTAGGATTTAAAGTCACAAGGAATAGCACCAGATATATAGTGAGTCTATGCCTTCTATGGCTTTGTAACAAGAATATTCTATGATTAGTGAATTCTTTGACAATAAAGAAGTTCCATTCTTTCCTTCTTGGCACTGTAGACGGGAAGCGCAGTTCTAGGTTTCTTTGTTCTTCTTCGGCATTTTTAATGTATCTTCTTTTGTGGAATCAGATCAGCCTCATAATTTTAGTTGCCTTTCTGCATCAGAAAAGAGAGTTCTACATACAATCTGAAAGGATAACTAGTTTAATAAGTTTCATAGACTTCTGTCCTTTCATTTCAGGGCTTCCACAAACTTAAAGCTGGCAGACACAGCTGAATCGGCCTGAGAACAGCTACTAGAGGAGACTTATAAAATCAATTGAAACCTTTAGAGGGGACAAAAGAGAGGCAGGATTTTCTAAGGAGCTTATCTAGAAATGGTTACACAATAATAAATGTAGTTTATGGGAAATTTTCAGTCTGTAAACGTTTTTTTTTATGGGGGCAGGTATTGTCTACCAACACTCTAAAAAATGCTTGCAGATCTTTTCTTATTCTTTTTCATAAGTTCCAATTTTTATGCATTTTACTAAGATAGAGTTGAGAAATATATGTCTAGACTCTAGCCTCCCTTTGGAGTGACGTGAACATCAAATGCTTTGAGTTGTCCACAAAAATGTGAGTCCAAAAGCTTCACGCCTCAACTGGAATGCATATAACATTCAAATTTTCTTATGCCTTTCACGCATCAATAATTAATGCTTATGCCTCGTGGGAGTTCTAAATTGTTTACACATCATAAAGTGAAGCTCATTTCCCTGTCAAAAATACTATCAAAAACCTCTTTTTCCTCTACACATAGAAGTCTTAGGGACATTATATGCACAAACAAGCCATTGTTGAGCAACAAAATTGTCAAATATAGGATATATACAAGTAAAATTGGGTCATATTAAAATAAATGTGTAACTTTTTATAATTTCCACTTTTATTTGTTAGCTTCTTTTTTGGGAAAACAAGGAGATCCTTTAGTCCTTTGATACTCCTCTAACATTAAATTAATCACATCCATAAATCCTTGAGGGAGACTGGGAGAGACAATGAGATGCAGATGTATTCGGGCTAATTAACATGAAGTATGTATGTGATTAATTAAATATTCAAGGAAGATCAAAGGAAATGAAGAATGGGACAGCCTTTATAATAATAAACAAGGGCAAAATTGAAAATCAAAGGTTTCCTCATCTTATAAACCTCTTTTCCAACTAATACTTGTAATTGATTTATTTTAAATAGAAAAGTCATCCAAAAAATACACAGTATAACAATTAAACTGCTCATTAAAGAGGTCATTATCCCTGTGAAAGGTAAGGAAATTAACGGCCACAACTTGAGTTAAGTGGCTGACAAATAAAAAAATATTAATTAGCCCTAATGCCTCTACCACTGATTGTCTCCCATGGTCAATCAACGTTAATTGCCAACCAGAAAGCACGGGATATGGGTACAACACGTTACAAACACGGAGATACATAGATTAAAAAAAACCTAAAAAAATATGGAATGAATAAAGCAAGATATTTCTACAATAAAATATAGTTTATACTTTTGTATAAGCTAATGACTACATTGATTAGTTTAAAATTCAATTAAGCATAGACGTCTCATCATGGTATAAATGTGGCTAATTAAAGAAACCAAAACTAACATTTAAGTAAATGGTTTTGCACTTGTTGCTAAGTGATAAGGTGTAATTAACCTACATGTCATTTTGATATGTGGCAGTATAAAATACTTAAAAAACCTACTATCTTCAAAGCTATATAGATTTTACTTCATGCGCATCATTGCATCTGATTTCAAGAGGAAACGATAAAGATTAAATTTTAAAGTTTATACATATTGCCATGTGTATCCACTTCCACATTAAAAAAATATTTTCATCTTGGATACCCATATCCAAGACCTATTCAAAAATAAATAACTATTTTACTAATTATTGGATACATGTGATAACTATCCAATATATATCCAAAAAGAAAGAAATATTTTAGCATTTTTTAATATGTATACGTTAATCCGATACGTATCATTAAGTCCTCGATGAGTATCAAGTTTGATCTAGTATTTAATACGCATAAGTCAACCTAAACGAAGTTTCCGTATTTTCCAGATGGTCAATCACTTATCCCAATTTGTGACCGTTGATCTCCTTACCTCTAACATTGGCAATGGCTTCTATAATGTGTAGTTCAAAGGGCTATAATGTGTACATTATTAAGATGACCTAGCTAAAATATATCAATCACAAATGCAATGTATAAGAGGAAAATTAGGTTTATAACATTATTAATAAAACATTTTTATTGAGAAGCACATAGTCAAGTGATAATGTAGTGAATAGAAAACATAAGAAAGAGTCATTTCCTAAAGAAAAAGAATAGAATATGTGATTTAGAACCAATGGTCCATGATTGAGTTGAAATCTAAATGTCTAGGTTACTAAGGTTGCGTTTGGTAACCCATTGTTTTTGTTTTTTTTTTTCAATTTTTACCAAAAATAAAAATAAAAATGTGTTTGTGATATGTTTCTTTTTTTTTTTTAGAAACACTATTTTAAAAACAAGGCCAATAAATAAAAACACAAAAAAAGTGTTTTCATAAACACCCAAAAACCAAAACACACGCAAGAGCTTCAATGGGATTTAATGAGATCCTGACTTCGATCGTCCTTAACAACAAAAAAAAATGGATTTTCTTCGCTTTCTTTTTCCCCCGCTCCCATTCTACGCTTCTCTCTTTTTCTCTCTCTCGCCCCTCTCTCTTCTTTCTCTCAATCGCCTTACCCTGATTTTTTTTTTTTTTTTTTTTTTTGTGACTGGCTAGTGGGTTTTCAGGGTTGGATGGTGGGTTTTGGTGGTTTTTTTTTATTTGGTCAAGGGTTTTAGTTTTGGTGATGTTGGGTGGTGGGTTTCGGGGGTTATTGGTGGTGGGTTTTGTAGGGTGGTTGGGTGGTGAGTTTTGGTGGTATTGGGTGGTGAGTTTTCGGTATAATACCAAACATACTTTTTATTTTTGTTTTTATAATTTTTTAAGTATAAACAACTACCAAATATGTTTTATATTTTAAATTTTTATCACAGAAAAAATAAAAATTAGTTATTTTTTTTAATAAAAAAATATAAAAACGAAAATGTTACCAAGTGCACCCTAAATAACCTCATTCTCTTTTAATGTTACAACATTAAAGGAAAATGTGTTAATTTCACAACATAAAAGGAAAATGTATTAATGTCACAACTTGAAAGGCAAATGTGTTAATGTCTGGTTGTCGTATTTTATTCCCAATCTCTTAATCAATTCTTGAATTATCATCTCTATTTTATTACACAAAACTAAAGGCCAAAAAATATTAAGAGGCCATGGTTGGTCAGCACCATAATCTCATTAAAAAGGTATAAAATAGAATCTCATAAATCAAGTCAAGGATGATTTTTAAAATCCAAGGATGACCTTGTTTCGGGATTTAAAAGGGTTGTCACAAAAAAATACATAAATTAGGACGTCACAAAAATCAACTCATGAGAAAATGAGTCAGTAAAAACTAAAAACCCATGTACAGCCCCTAATATAGACACTGGATCTGTCAACCACTAAGGAGAGTATATAATGTCAGTGTTTTCAGTACCACTGAAGAATTCTAGAGAGAGAAGCTCTGCCTTCTCTCTAAAATTTTTCTCACATGAGTTCATCACCTTTATCTCACCAAAACCACCAGATATTCCCCAAAAATCACAATCCTTTGTTTCTTTATAGCAGCCTATTGATACATATTTGCAAGAAAAAATAGACAAACCAATAGTCTTTTATGAAGGAGAACCTGCATTCTACTTCACAAATGAAGAAATCCAAAAGTCAAGTCAATCACTCCAATATGCCTTAATAGGCAAATGCTCTTATGGGAGGCCTTCACTAGGGGTTATCAAGGAGGTAATCAGATCCAAATGGAGCTTGAAAGGAGATTTTGAAGTTGGTGCAATCGATCAGAGGCATGTCCTGTTGAGGTTTGAGTTGCAGGAAGATTATGTGAAGACATGGCTCAAAGATGCAACCTTAATAGAGGATTATCTATTCAAATTTTTTAAATGGTTTTCAGGCTTTGTCCCAGGCGTAGAACCTTCAATCATCCTTTTATGGATCTCACTGCCTGGTTTGCCTCTAAATTTTTTCAAGAAGCCCTACTTAGAGCTTTTGGTAAAGCCCATAGGTAGGGTGTTGGCATATGATCAGGCTACTCTCAATTTGTCGAAGTCAGGCGTAGCAAGGGTATGTGTACAGGTTAACCTTCTTCACAACAACCAAAACAGAATCTGGATTGATATGGGAGAGGAAGGAGCTAGATGGCAAAGGCTAATCTATGAAAGAAGTAAGCAATTCTGCACAACCTGCAAGAAGCAAGGCCATGGCGATGATGTATGCAGGAAAAGGAAACTTGCTGCTCTGAAGGAGAACAATCAGGGAAAGAATATGGATTTGGAAGTTAAATCCACATAAAAGGCAAGTAAAGAGCAATCAAAGGGAAAGGAGATACAGCGAAGCCAAACTCTTGGGAAACCTCACAAGGCAACTCATAATCATGTAGCAATTCAGCCACAATTAAAGCAGGCAAGTTTGGCTCAGCAATCGAAGGGAACATGGAAGCAGCAGCACAGGCCTAAGCAAGTCAATAATTCAGGGAAAGTAACTCCAATTATTTTTTGGCAATTTAGGAAATAATGCCCAAGATATAAGGGAGGTGGAAACAGATGAGTCAATCAAAATACTGGAAAAAGGGAACCATTCTGGCAAGGATAATGGCAACAATAATGAGGGAGATATTCTAGCTAAGGCAAGTGTACCAGTCCTAGATTCTACGAATCCCACAGTGCCTAGCCCAATTCTAATTGTGGATGAAGAAGAATGCACAGAGCAATGCGCCAATGATTCTGGTAAGGAGAATTCTCACAAAATTTTAAAGATGGGTGCAGTTAATAAGGTATATCAAAGGAAGCATAAAAGAGTTTCTTTCAATTTTCTTAATCTAAATAGAGAAGATGGTGAGATTCTTTCAAGTAAAGATGATGGTGAGATATTCTCAAGTTCAGATGATGATTCAGAAAATGATATTGAAGAGTCTTTCTCTTTGGAAGATCCACGTCTTCTAAATAAGCAAGCTTCAGACTCATTGTACAAGCCTTTAATTATTTCTAAGGAAATGGTGGAGGAAGTTCACAAGTGCATCCATAGTGAAGAGGAGCTCATTCCAAATAGGTCCAGGAAGAAATTCACCAAGCATTGAAATTAAATGGAATTTTTTCTCATGATGACTATGTAAAAGAGTCTTCTCTTCACGAGAACACAAGAGAGTTTTCCTCTGATGGAGAGGAGGGTAGTCTAGTGCCTCAAATGGATTATAAGTCTTTTATGTTTAAGTCTAAAGAATTGTTGGGAAAACTCAATATTGCTGAGAGAAAAAAAAAAGGAGAAAATAAGAGGAGCTAGCTGCTTTGGCGTTGGCGTTGGCGTTGGCGTAGAATAATACCCCAGCCGTGGAAAATTCAGCAATAATGACTAGGTCCAAATCCAAGCTAACATTCAAAATTCCAAAGCAAAAGAATCCACACGGATTTAGGCACTAAATGGAGGATTTTCATGGATTTGAAATTCAATGCTGCAGAATGCCAAATGGACACTCTTTCAGCTGGACTCTCTTTTTACAGTTGCATGATCTCTTCATGGATAGCAGCTGCAGCTGGATCATCATCAATATCGTTTCACAGCTGCATCTACTACAGCTGGATTCTTACTGTTCACGCCACTATTCACGTTGCTGCTGCAGCTGGTTGGGTCATTTATGCGTGCATCTTTCAGGATTTCTGGGCTTTCATCCTTAGCACATGCAGAACCTGGATAATTTTGCTTCAGCTGGAAGCTCATTTTTCTGGACTCTAATCCTCTTCACAGCTGGCCAGTTCGAATTACTCTCTATGCAAAGCTGGTTTGTTTGAAACTACCTGGCTTATTTACTCCAGTTGATCTTCTCCTTCAGCTGGAGTTTTATTGGCTGCCAGCTGATCTTATCAACTACTGCACAGCCCAAATCCTTTCAATTCAGCTAGTCTCCTAGTTAACTGGCCTATCCACTATCAGCTGAACACTTAGGAATTTAAAAAGCTGCATGTTTAGGATAATTTACTTTTTACTTATTTTATGTAATAGATTGCATCGAGGGATAAGGTACATACGTCCCCCTTAGTTAGGTGTAATTTAATTTTTTCAAATCAATAAAATTTCCTCACACCGTCGAGATTCGCCCAAAAAAAAAAATATAATGCCATTCAAAACTCAACAAGCACAAATTTTTTCCATGAATTTAGAAAGTTTTCCTCCTCCTCAAATACATCAGGGTCATAGGGGACACTGTTCCATCTCACCTCTAAAAGCATGAAAATCATTTGTGGGGTTCTATTAATATTTGAAGTTGGCCAAGGGCCTCAATAGCTAAGCAAGGTCTATTTTTATATTTATTTTTATTTTTTTATTGATTTATTTATCCATAGGCTATCATATAGTGTAGTGTAGCTTAGTGGTAAAATGTTTGAGCTAATAATATGGTCTTGGGTAATACAAATGAGAGCAACTGTTTTCCATATTCCCTAGGGCAGTGGTAAAATTCCCAAGCTAACAACCTTGTGGGTTCAAATATGAAGGCAACTACTCTGCATGTATAATGCTAGATGTTTGATATATAATCGGTCCATACCTTTCAGCACTCACTGTTAGGAGTCTGGGGACTGTCAATAGATCCAAATAAATAAGTACTAGAAAAATTCAATCAGAACCCGATCCAGATCAGATATCTAATCGATTTGCTTTAAAAGTCCATATCTAATCTGCTAAAAATCAAAAATTCAATTGAAGTAACTCAATTAGAGTTAAATTTCAGCAAATTAGACCCGAATTTCAACTTAACAACATGACACACAAAAATATCAATTCATATTCGCTCAATCATAATCGGATCACAATCTGATCCATGACATAACAACACCCCGTTAACAAGGAACAAAATGGCTAATGCATGGACAAAAAAACAAACTGGACAATTTTGTTGTCCTAGGCAAGATGACAATGAAAAAAACACAAAGCAGATATGTAAAACTTGCAACAAAAATATATCCCCTTGGAAGAGTCAACTCATTAAATATGACCCAAAAGAGAAAGGGAGGGGTGGGGTAGGCCACCGATTTGGACACTACGTTCTCAACCACCTGGGGCCTCCTATAAGACAAGAATACCCTCGTTCCAATCAAAATATATCAAGTCCGACAGGAGTAATTATGTTTTAAAGATTGAAAACTGTCTTCTTTCATCAAATAAAAGATAGGGTGCCCAAATCAATGTCCCTACTCTTCCATTTAAAAAGATTATAATTCGTGTTCGTGTTCAGAACTCACTTGTAGTCGCAAACAAGAAGCAATCCACCATCCTTGCAAACGAAACACCAATCTTCTGCTATTTCTTCCTTCTTTTGAGTCTGTTTCGGTTTTCTCTTCATATCTATGCAACTTTTTTACAGTTTGTTCCAACAAAGATCAGCCAAATCACTCTTTAAAACCCAAAACACCAAAGAACACCAACTCTCGAATCTCTCTGAAAAACCCAGAAACAATCTCTCTCTCTCTCTCTTTATAGAAAGTACAGCCAACCCCAACTTTAGACAGCATTAAGAGAGGGAATATCAAAGACCCATTTCAAAATATACCAAGAGACGCTGGTTCAAACATAGGAAATAGCTAATGGAAACATCGGGAAAAACAGAAGACCCATTTGAGAAAATAATGCTAAAACGCAGCTCCAAAATCAACCCAGAAAAACAACAACTACAATGCTATGAATGGCAGTGGTTTGAGTAATGGGTACGGATTTCAGATCATGGAAATAGAGAAACCACATTGTGGTGGAATGAGGATGAATTGTACTTTGAACATGGAATTAATTCCCTGGGCGAAATCTCATAAAGGAATTAAAGGAAGATCGGATTCTTCTCGATTTTTATCTGAAAAGTTAATAAAAATTAGGGAAAATTGTGGAAAGGTACAAATTTTTATACTTATTTATATAAAAGTATTTTAATATAAAATATTTGTATATAAATATCTTTATGTATAAATGTTTGGTAAAAAAATACACTTTTGTTAAATTATAATTTTTTCTCTTACTAAATTGTTCTTTTTTTTTTTATTAATTGGAAACAAATATAGTAGTTATATTAGAGATTCAAGTTTTTAATTTTATGTTATACCTCTTTTAAATTTTAAACTACCTACTTATGTGTGATCGACCAACCGTTTGTTTAAACATTCCATATATATTCCCCCATCATTCTAACCTCTTCATCTGTCATTCAATCCATTCTGTAATCGGGTTTTTAAACATATTTCAATTAGTTTTAATGGAAAAAGTGCATCAGCCATCAGGTATGTAATTCATATGTTTTTTATGTAAAAAAAATTATTACGGTCTCTTAATGTGAATCATGTTCATATAAGAATAAATGTTAATGATGATAACTCAAAAGGAGATGATCGTAATAATCAAGATGATGATTCTGATTCGGATGATAATTTGTTGCCTCGCACGATAGTGTCACACTAGTACTAAAAAATATCACACTACTACAAACCAATATCACACTGCATACATTAACATGACACTATGTAATAATCAAGATGATGATTCTGATTCAGAGGATAATTTGCTGCCTCGCATGATAATTTTACAGTGCTACAAGACAATGTCACACTGGTATTAGAAAATGTCACACTGCTACAAACCAAATTCACACTGCTATAAACCAATATCACACTACTGCAAATTAATGTCACACTGCATACATTGACATAACGCATGTCACAATATATATGGTCTCTTTGTTTTTGTTTTTGGCAAATGATTGAACATTTGGTGTGCAAGTAGTACCAAACACCAAAAGTAGAAAGGTAATTGAGGGGGACAAAGTAGATAAAATAAAAATATTGGGAGAAATACAACGATCTTCCTCTTCAGCAATGAATTTCGGTACAGTCGTCACTGTCTAATACCGATATTTCCCCTTATTCACAGTGAACCCATCAAAAAACTCATCACTTTATTCAAAGGGATTTTCATATCCTATTCAACGACAACATGAAATTTTGAATCAACGAAACTTAAGGGATCGCTTAAGCTTCGGTTATGATTGTCCATTCCAATGGCTTAAGAGAATCACGAAAACAAGCTTCATTTTTCTCTCTCTCTCTCTCTAAAATCTATTCTTGGACTATATGTAGAGCCTATCTGGGATTGTTGATGGGTTTAAACTTCAAGGAGAGAAAGGGTGTCTGAATTAGAGAGAAAGGGGTCTGAATTAGAGAGAAGCAAGAAACCAGCAATCACCATCTTTCTCTCTCTCTCTCTCTGTGGATTCTTACGTGGGTCTTTGATATTTTTTATGGTTGAGATTTTCAAAGAGAAAAGGTTTCAGATATGTTAATGGTAGGGTTGGATTAGAAAATGAGTGACAGTGTGAAGTTTGTTTTGGTGATCGCAATGTCAAATTGCAACTTTTTCCTTCCCTTTGAGGCTGCTACTTTCTGTGACGTTGAAGATGGAGGAATTGGAATGGACAATCATAACATCGAGAATAAAATTCCTTAAGTTGCGGTTGTGGAGGCAAAAATATAGGAATCAGTTCTATTTTACTGAAGGGGGTATTTTAGAGATTTGTTAAGGATTATATATTTTTTGACTTATGTTTTTAAAAATGGTATTTTCTGCCCTATATTTTCTAAAAAGGGTACCGGCCACCTTAAAACCCTAAAAATAATGACAAATTTGGAAGGACTTTCTAGGCCCTATTCTTTTTTTAATTTCGGTTTGCGCCAACGTAATTTTCCTTTTTTTTTTCGGCCTGGCCTATGTAATCTTTCCCTATTATGTTTAATTTGGGTAGGGATTAATTCATTCAATACTAGCAGTTTGCCTCATACAATTCATAGGGTATATAACCGTAATCTTTTTTTTTTTAATTTCTCTCTTTAATCTCTATCACTTGAAAATTAAATAAATAGTAAATAATTATCTAAAGTAATTAGGATAATATTCATAAATTTTTTAAATAGATTCACATTAAAAGTGATTAATTAGTGAAGAGTAGATGCTTAGTTAAAAAAATATATGATAAATTATGATTAAAAATTTTTTAATTAATAATTCAAACCTCTCCATAAAAAATTATATATATATATATATATATATATATATATATATATATATATATATACGGAATACAGGTGAGTTTAGGAGAAGCACAAGATGTAAATATAAATGTGACAAAATAGTGTTTTATCTTTATAAAAACATCTTTGTTTAATTAATAAAAATACAAATTATAGAAATAAAAATACTTACAATACTAGCACTAAGTGGGCTAGTAGTGAAAGAGAATAGATGAAAAACTCTTCATTTGCATCATTATGAGAGATCTCAGAATACAGGTTTTATAAGTGAATGTAGGAGAATTGTGTCTCTGGGATGTAACTTGGGTTTCGAAAAACCTCTGTCTTGAACTAAAGTGAAGAAACCATTTTATAGGAGTAGAGATTACTTCGGGAATCTCTTGCAATGATTTCTTTTTTTTCTTTAACCAAAGGTAAAGATTATTCACTTCAACTTTCGGTAGAAAAGTAAAGGTGAATTACTTTAATTCTGGGTAACTTTTGACTAAATGGGACACTTGGTGGGTCCTGATGTCTGAAACAGAGTGCTATGTGGGTCTCTGCTTCGGACAAAAGAAATCTA